GTATGATACAGACATATATACATACATTTTATGGTTACATTTATCTAAATGTTGTTGTTTTTACATTTCTCAGACTTCTCAAACTAAATCACACTTTTGGTGCCAAAGCACAGATTCCTTTCTTGCTTTACCTCGACTATGAATCACATGTAGGGCTGCACAATTAAGTGCACAATCATGATGCTGATTAAATGCCCTTTTTAAGTGCTTGCCTCCTGTGAAATGTGTCCTGTTCACAGGTAAAGTTTCTGACCCTTCACAGGTGTTTTATTTTTAAAGTATAAAAAGTAAATTCTCCCAAACATTAATAAATATTCTTGATCTCAATATTGAGCAACATAATCATTGTAGGACCAAAGTATATTATTGATAACAATGTTTTATGTACACTACCAGTCAATCAAAGCAAAGGGTGGCTATTTTGAAGAATCTGTTTTGAGTTATTTCACACTTTTTTTTGTTATCTACATAATTCCATATGGTGTTCATTCATAGTTTTTGAAGCCTTTCAGTGAGAACTACAATGTAAACAGTCATGAAAATAAAGAAAAACCATTAAATGAGAAGATGTGTCCAAACTTTTGACTGGTAGTGTATATTATTTAATAGGTTTGTGAATTGGATTATGATGATTATGTTTTATTATTAAATGATGATTAAAGTGTATTTCATTCCTTTTACGTAATGATCATTTTGAAACTTGCAGTCTTGTCCAGGTTTCTACGTGTATCACATGTTTCTAGAAGAGCAAACAGTCTGATCAGGTAGTGAACAAAGTGGTAACCTCAGTTAAGAGTCCAACAGAAAAGAGGCTTTTGGCTGTTTATAGTGGAGCATCTGGACTTTATTTTTGAAAGACAAGGTTTAAGAACTTGAATGGATACGGAAATTGTGACTAAACCATAAAACTTAAATGACCTGATCTCTGTACGTTTTTCACAATTGAAAAAGAGAATTACAGCTGTGGAACCTCCATTTACCCCCAATGCTCTCACTTTCTGATGCATTGTGTCCCGTTTGAGGTACAGTTCACACAGTAACAGCAACTTCATTATATTTTGCCCAGAAACCAACTAATCCTGAGCTGTAAAAGTCAATGGTGGTAATTTAATAAAAGTCATTAGTCATGTATCACTAATCTAGTACGAGTTGTTGCTTCTTTATCTTAGTTTTTTTTTTATTATTTAGTGCATGTTTGTAAGTAGACTAGTGATGAACTGTGCAGTAAGATATGTAAACATGTTAATGTATTGCAGGACCTCAAGCCTCTGTATGCTGGTCGGTGTGAGTATCTCTCCAGTGAGACTGCATCCGAGCGTGATGTAAGAAACACACACTTCACTTTCTGATGAATTCATTCTCAGTGTACGTGTTTGAACTATCAATGTCAACCCAGCAGTGAAGTGGGGGCAGAGCCCGAAGTCGACCCAAAGTGCAGAGACTGTAAAATAATTTCTGACCCTCAGGTATCCTGTCAGACGCAGCGCTCGTCCTGTAACCTGCGCGTGAAGAGCAACACCTGTTACTGCTGCGACCTCTACAACTGCGGGAAGTGAGTACGCTGAGCAGGTCGATCACCTGACCAATCAGTGGCTACTCGCTTTGCTGCGTTGCTTTGATTGTTTGGATTTTTGATGTGTACCATTTTTGTGTGAAATTGTTTTGCACTGCAACTGCGTTGATTGTATTAGAACAAGAAATGTTTCTTTTCTTTTAACCTTTGTTTCAGAGAACATCCTCTTATGGGACTTCAGAATAAAGATGTTTTGAAAAAGTTTAGGAAATCATCCATGATTTGGAAGTAGGTCCCTTTTTTTCTAGAACCATATTGGCCATTAATGATCAACTCATGACGTTTTTTTTTCTTTTTTTGATCAGTACTGATTGAAATTAAATAATTATGTAGAAATGTTATGTTTTAACCCACTATAGAAATGTGCATTTCCTCTGCATGCTCTTTTTGTGTCTGAACCATCTCAAAACCACTGGAACTCTTACAGACATAGACTCATTTATCTGTATAAATCAAACCTGTTGTATGTCTTCCATCGTGTCTCCAATACAAATGCACACAGCCTGTTGGTGAGCATTAGTAAAAGCTGTATTGGTGACATTTGTGGCTTGACTGTAGGCTGTTTCCCTCTCTTTCCCACCCACTGGGCTAGCCGTGTAGAGGTGATTGGAGGCTACCATGAATATACCGACGTGAAGAGCTGCCAGGATGTGGTGCACCTCTATCACCTGTTATGGTCCGCTACCATCCTCAACATCGTGGCCCTCTTCCTGGGCATCATTACTGCTGCAGTGCTGGGAGGCTTCAAAGACATGGTAGGTCATGTGAATGAAGAGACGACTGTGCTTATTCTGCTTGATGTGTCGGAATAAGTCTCAAACTATGTGGTGATCTTTAATTGTGATTTTGTTTTTTAAAGTTTTTGTTAATTCTCTGGTGTTTTAATTGATAGAAACTGATCAATACTCTTCATGTCCTTGTCAGACTCCCTCTGCTGCCTCAGAGAGTACATCTGAGCCAGAGGCCATCACAGCTCCAGTCCCCTCAGAGCCTCCTCCACCCACCACCTCCCTCAACTCGTATTACAACACTGCCCCCTGCCTGCCGCCCTACACTGCCTACGACCTGCAGGTACAGAGACACTTTCCATCTGCTGTCCTGCGTGAAGTGCATAGTGGGAGACTTTGTGAAGAAATTATTGATTTATTATTGGCAGTTATCAGTGGTGTCTATCTTTCAGATAAAAGGTTTTGATTCATTGTGGGTGTCTTTTTAAAAATTAATATGATGACAGGAAGAGGTCATGTAAATTCAGCTTAACGTTTTAATGCCAGTCAGTTCTTACATTTTCTATTATCTGTTGGTATTCTTCTCTCAGACAAAATATTATACATTTGTAAATGTCTGTAGCAGAATTAGTGGGACACAAGAGAAACAGTCCATCCAATCTGACGTCTCCCCCTCTCCAACATCCAGTTTCAGATCTTGCCTTCTGACTCCCGTTAGCCAAAACTAGCAGATATAAAGACTCTTCCACACCTTCTGCCGTGTCTTTAAAGTCTGTGAGGAAGGTGGAACGAGTTGTGCACTCTGTTTTTTCCTGTTTTGTATTAATATGTATTCATGTATTTTGTGTTTTTATCTCATGTTTTGTGTTTCACTGCTGGGCAACCAGTTGCCCTTTGGGTACCAGTAAAGTGATTAATTGAAGATACAGCAGCAGTCTGGAGTTATTCTGAAACCAAACTTGTAAAGATGTCATTCTGATGAATGTTTTGGCTTTCCTACAGGGCACCTACGTGTTCCCCGACTCCTCAGGCCTGTCAGATGACTCCCAGTCTGGAGCCAGCCACCTGTGGCCCACAATGATCCCCCCACGCTACTCTCCCCCTCACAACCACCCTGACGAGAAGCCCCCACCCTACAGCCCGTAAGACGTCCTCGAGCACAGGAGGCACCTGAAACGTTAGTGGGTGTTGGTAGATGCTGATTGAGTGGTTTGAATGCACTCTGGGCTCTTCCTCACAGTTGTTGGGAACTGTGTTGTAGGAAAGGTGGTGAGGAAGAGGAGGAGGAGGAGGAGGACGGCCACAGAGCACACTAACTTTGAGTTAAGCCCAAAACAAGGGAGTGAGTGTTTGTCTCCCTGGGCACCGCTCACACTCATACCTGCACTGTGTGTGTGTGCGTGCATATACACATCAAGAGAGAGACAACCGGTTCAAAGCCAGGATTGTTTACACATCTATCTGCCTTAATGCAAACGGACATCCAGTGCTGCAACACTCTGTCACTCTGGATTTATTCTGTACAAGGGCAAAAAGCTCTCGTCCAGCTCATGCTTCATGTTCACCTCTCTTTAGTACATATTGTAAATGCTTCCTGCCTCAAGCGGTACAGGTGATAACGCCCTCACTGTTTGCACTGAGGATCACCGCACAGCTATGAGCCTTGTGTGAGAATAATGCAGAGTTAGATGAAAGCTTTGGTGTCAGTCCCAAATCTGAATCAGCTAGAAAATAAAAAAACAGTAGAGTTGTAAGCCCAAGTAGTTGTTTCTTTAGCGGTCAGTAGTGTCCTTGTACATTATTAAAGGCAAAGTTAGCAGTAATGGAGGTTACATGCTCAGCAGTATGATATACAGATGCTCCTTTAGCAGTTAAGCCTAAGGTATACAAACAGATCATGGTATCTATTTACTAACTCTTCCGTTCATGTTCAAAAATATCTTGATCAGTGTGTGGTGAACTTTGCAGAGCAGTGCTAATGAAGAAATAAGCTATTCTGCAGTAGTTGTTAAGTCAGGACAATTAACATTTACACTCCAAACCCTATTTATTGCATTTTCACTAAAAGCTGCAAAGCAGGTAAGCACATCTCGTCTCTCTCTTTGTAAGTAGTATTAATATCACATCTAAGAGTTGAAATGTGTAAACGTGTGTAAGGCTGAGGGTGAACAGTCGGTGCTGGATTCACTGACACGAGATGGGAGATCATTCAAAGTCAAAGAATAAGACCTGTTGTTCACTGAGGAAGAGAGTGTAAACTGAAACCAGTCTGTCAGCTTTAATCACTGCTTTTTATAGTTTAAACACATTCTCAGGGGCTGATTGTCAGTTCCTTTTTTGTTTTGCCAATAAAAAATGTTTTGTGTAATTCAAATATTGTGTGTTTCTTTTAAGCCAAGCTAGCAGTCCATACTATCGCACCAGGGAACAAACGTTTACCCATTTCTCTCAATAAATTAAATCTATTATGAATATTATGAAATCTTCCATCATCTTCTGGACGTGTGCAGACAGGATTTTCTATCAGTTCAGATTTATTTTACCCGCGAGGAACAAAGCGACTGAGTTTTTAAGTTGTGTTTGTTTGAAGCTGCTGGAGAAGGTACATCACAGTGAATAAAACAGCAGATGTTTACATGCTGGAGGTGCAAGACAATCAAGTTAAATTTGTAAAAGAATAATTTATTTACCATCCGGGACCCCTTATTGCTAACTGACAGAAAAAGGATACTTTGTACAATGTCAACAGGGTATTTTATAACTATTTCATTTTGTCTACCGCTATAAACCTAATAAATACATCTGAAATAGTGAAAAAAATGAACAGAAATATACTGTACATCACACACCAATGTTAATCTGTTAATTAAAAAAACAAAACCTGCATCCTGGATGATTTTATTGAATAAACAGAATAGATTTCCATATTAGCACTACTTTTTTTTTTTTTTACTCACTGACAATCACTACTTTTTGACACAATGGGAAAAAAAGTGGAAAAGTAAAAACATTACAAAAAGATCCAATGCTAAGTGCTATATGTACTGACTGAAATAACCCTCAGTTTATCACATTTGTAAGCAAAATCTGCAGCCTGCACTGGAGATCAATAACATGGCAACCATAGCAAATAAAAATATACAGATGTATCAAAATAAAACAAAAGGTGTTTAATGGACAAAAAATAAACCATAGCTGTTTTTCCAGCCACTGAGAAACCAAATAACCATTATATATCGTCCCTGCCACAATACCCACATGTGGGATCACCAACAATCACATAATGAAAAAATATATTTCAGATCATAATTAACATTCTCTTGTACAGGATTAAAACTTCTCAAATGGAGAAATCAGTCCAGAAAAAACTCCCGTCTGATCCTCCATGATTGATGCATCTGATGGTGGATTTAAAACTCAAGCAACCTTGTTTTATTTCACTATAGGACGTTGTCCTGGTTACAGCTGAGGTTTCACATTCTTAAATAGGTAACCCCATTTCTGTTTTATGAACTGGAGCTCACTGGGCTGCTAAATGTCACCCTTTGTGCTTCAGATCCTTCAGCTGAAATAATCTGGTTGACGCAGAATTTTGTGGCTTTAGAGCAACAGGAAATTAGATATCATCACTGGGCTATGTTTATGCGTGACGCCGTGTCCCCGGCACAAGTGGTCACAACGGAAACCCCGTCTTTACATGACTCTTCTACAGGGGCAGCTGCTCTTATGTATGTAGCATTTGTTTTTTCTTTTAGATTTACAACACGTGTCAACAATATTAGGTTTTTGTATTCACAATGTTTGTCTGTTGCTCATCTATTATTTATACATTTCTCAAACACTGTTTGATAAAGAGGTTCTGATCACTGGCGTCGCTTTTGGTCCTATCTGATGAACAGATCAATGCATCCTCAGCATTGAGGAGCTGTAGGGCAGCGTAGTTCCTCTGCTAAACACTCTGTTCTTGCTTTTTAACTGAATGTTTTGTTTGTTTGTCCACTGGTGTATTGGAAAATTACTGCAGCGTACAACGCGTTGAGCGTACATGCCTCTGTGCGCCATTTTCCGAGGCCTGCGCTATCGGGTCTACAACAGCTACAACTCGCCTCATACAGTGACAACTTAAATATACATGATTCTTGTCTTTTATTACAACTATTGATTTAAAACCGAACACCCCTCTCTTTTATTTTCCTCAAGCAGTTTTTGTTTCCTGCATTGAATTGTTATTTTCCATATAAACTAATTATATATTTGACTGCGTGTGAACCACTGCTATGTTTGTTTTGCTAACGTGAGTATCATTTATTCCAATGATAAAAAAGATCAAGGCTATTAGACAAGCAGAGTCTAAGGTATGGTCACATTACACTTCTGTCCCGCCTTTCAATTCAGTGGAAGCGTTTGTTTGCAGTTCACCATGATTAGAACATTACACAACACGTTACTGTAAAACAGAAAGGCTAATGTGACCGTGCCTTATGCAGACAGTATCGAGAATTACAGAAGAATATTGTTGACATGGAACCAAAAGGAATAAGGGTGGTGGTGGTGGTGGTGGGGGGGTACCTAAAAGGCACAGGTAATGGAGCAGTGAGTGCTGCTCAGTAGGTCTCTGGTATAACAAAGTCAAACTCTGTGGCTCCCTGTGGAGGAGTGTTCACGGTCGACACGGGTCTGGCGTGATCATCGGGAGGCATGTGAGCATCAGGCTCGACAAAGATGTCGTCCCAGTTCAACATCCTGGTCTGGGTGGAAGAGTGGACGCCCTCGCCCGCCGTGGTAATGTGATGCACGCTGCCATCCTCGGATATGACCGGGACCCCCTGCCCGTCTGTAGTCCATGAGTACGGCTTCATCTGCACCGTTTTACACGGCAGCAGTCGGTATAAGTTGTTGTCGGCGTCGTCTTTCTCCTTCCTCCCGCTGGGGTCCTGGTTGTGGACTTGCTTGCAGTGGGTGGACAGTAACTGGTAGTTCATGAACATCTCGTTGCACACCAAGCACTGGTACCTCCTCTCCCCCGTGTGGTGGATTTCGTGTTTAGTTCTGTACTCGGCCAGAGCGAAGACCTTGTTACAGTAGCGACACGGGTACTTCTTTTCCCACGAGTGGGTGTTGAAGTGGCGGCGGAGACTCGTCAGACACACGTAGGGCCGCTTGCAGACGATGCACACGTAGAAAGTCTTCCCGTCCATGATCAGCTCGTAGTGGTCCTCAAGCTCCGTTTTGGTCCTCTTCTTGTTGGGGCTGGTCTTCGGAGACATGGGCGGTTTATTTAAGGATTTCAGAGGTGTTGCCATTAACGACCTCTTCCCTTTATTGGCTTTAGAGCCTCCTTCACCTGGATCTTCCTTCACCGGGACAATGTCATAAGTATTTTCTCCAATATTAGCGTACACTTTACAGCCTGATGAAATTGAATCAATCTCTGTGGCTGTATTGAGCGTCACTGTCTTTTTCGCGGCCACGGCTGTTTTGGGAATGTTAGTTTGATTTGCGGAGCCGTCGGACACGTCTAAGAGCATTATTTTGAAATCCCCTTTCTGAGTTGAAGTAGAGACTTGCTTCTTGTGGACTCCCATTATATCGCTGCTTTCAGAGGACTGAGAGGCACTTGAGGGTTCGGGTGTGAAACTGCTTGACCTGGCTGGAGTTGTGGGAGCACTTCCTGAGGAAACTCTGGCGGGGGAAGACGAGTTATTGGAGCTGCTGTCGGGGCTTCGCAGGGGGCTGCTGTTGAGCAAACTTGGGTTCGGACAGCTGATGCTGGGGGGCTTTGGAGCGTTTGTTTTCACGGGGGCTTGGGCTTTCTCCGCTTGTTTCGCAACTGCATTATTTGACTCTTCAGTTTTCTTTGACGCTACATTTTGTGAATTAGCCGAATCCAAAACGATGACATCGCCAGGGCCGGTTTTCTGTTTGGTTGCTCTGCTTTGAGCATCAGTTTGTGATACAAACATAACATCGCTGTCTGAGTCCTCGTCGTTCCCCGCGGGTTTGCTCGTCTGATTGAATTCCTCAGCAGATATCGAGAAAGACTCTGTGATGATCGGCATCATCTCCGTGGGGGTGTCACTTTTGCTTTCCGTCTCCTTAGACAAACCAGGCAGACCCTTCACTTGCGACAACGGAGACCCCAAGTTTGCAATGAACTTGACTCCCAGTATCTGTCCCGCGTTTATGAGCTCTTCAAGCATGTCGGAGCGGACACGGATGATCTTGGCGCTGTAAATGTAATTGAGGATCTCCTCAAAGATTTCTGCTCTGATGAAGTTTAACTCGATCACTTGTCCAGCGACGCTGAAGAGCTGGTGGAAGTATGTGCTCGAGGCCGACAGGACTGTCTTGTGAGCTCTGAATTTCTTGTCCTGTATGATAATGGTGACATCACAAAACAATCCATGGTTTCGCTGCTCGTTCATGGACTTCAGCACGGCCGCTGAATACTGCGTGTCGGTAGCAGAGATCAGCTTTAGACTCGGCATGTCTGCAGAGAGAAAAATCGAGAGAGAGCGAGTCAGAGTCACACACAAAAGGTTCAGTGAAGTACGTCGTGGTGGCATGCAGAATACCATCAGGTGCTTCAACTGAACGTGTAGTTAAAGAGTTTCCATATCCTGCTTAACCTAACAGTCGATTATCACTGACACCACAGCAGTCGATAGAGCGGTGGACTGTCCAGGAAGGTAGTGACAGAAAGTTTACCTTGATTTATTTTCATTTGTTTTTGTGCAATACTGCTACTTACTTTCAGTTTCCAGAGACTATAATGTCTGTCTATACTGTAATAAGTCCGACATCCACAAGGTTGTCAGACTTGGTTCATTTTGGCTGTAGATTGAGCTGCGTCATACCAAGAGGTCTTTCTAATATAGCCTGACCAATAAAAGATAGTTGAAGTATAGATTAGAGAGTATAACATGTTCTCTGGTGGACAAACACTGTTATCTCATTTATGTATTTGGCTTCTCTGTACTGAAATGTACTTATCATATATACTGACTCCAATAAACATGCAGTAACAAATGATCCAGCTCTTGTTCCTAATACTTGATCAACCCTCACAGATATCGATCAGGTGGCACGCTGCATCACAAACTCCAGTCTTTAACCCGACCAGGAAGTTGAATCCAAACAGCTGTGATCATTCAAACCTTCATGCAGGCATTATTTAAGGTACGGCTGTGGTTGGCTGCATTAGTTTAACTTTAAGATGACTGTGTCTAATAAATTAACTACTGTTTATGTGGTAAATTCATTATTTGCAGACAAATTATTGCAGGTTCTCTTAAAAAAAATAAAAAATAAAGCTGTGTTTTAGTATTTGATGCAAAGAGGAACAGCAGGAGTGTGAACATCGGTGTTTGTGCTCATGCAAACAAATGTTATTTATGTTAGTCGAGCTACAAACAACAAGAACGTCACCTTAGCTGACGTTAGCTGCACGTTTTACATCATTACTTTGCCAAAGTTGTAGCAACCGGCTGAAATAATACTCTCACATGACATTTCACAAATGCACAACTACATGTATTTGACTTTAAAGGTGTCGCCAGCTCCTCCGCGGGTCTAATACCACTGCTATCGGTGTGTTTGTAAGTAATATTCAGATGCTAACAAAGGTGACGCTAGCTGCGTTTGCTTCCCTCTTCCTCTTTAATGAAAGCGGACAGCAGCGGCCTAACAGCCTGTGAGCATGAGAGCTCAAAACACACAACACCACCACACTGAACCGCTCTCCGCACTGAATGGCTGCACGGTAGCTGAAGTCGGATTACCTGAAACCCCGTTGTTTTCTGCCAAGACTAAGCAGGACCGCTACCACTTGGTGTAGTAACGTAGCTACAGACAATGGCTAACAACAGACAGCCTCCCTGCCGACGGCACTGAGCCTCATTGATTGAGCAGCCACAAGGAGTCGCCGTCGTGTAACTTCTAAAACAACACGATTAAAACCGCATGAGACGAAAGACAGAGGGAAAATAACGGATTTTATTACATGTGTTGTGTTTAAACATCAATTAAAGAGGCGCCTGGACGTTATTTGAGGTGATAATTGTTTACTTTTTCCACGGCGGGTTTGTCGTCAAGACAACTACCGGGTTACTGGTGTCGCCTTCAAAGTAAAAGCACATACTGCTACGAGCTCAGCGGACATTCATCGCTATAAATTATATATAAATATATAATACCTGGGGGTCTCTGGTCAGGTAGCGAGTCTCTTCTCACATCGGGGTCTGCTGGAGGCTCTTTGGATCGGTTGAAGTCTGCAAGAAGCTGATCGGACACTGCCGTCCTCTCTTCCCCATTGTATTTATTATACTGCTTTGCGTGTTTCGCAGTGTAATGTCGCTTCATATTAAACTCCCTATATAATACTGTCTGTCTGCAGATGAGACACGTAGCGGTCGTATTCAGCTCCGTGAAAAACAACTTCATGGCCAGTATTTCCTCAACTTTCTTGGTCACTGGGTACAATTTTGTTTTCTGTTTATCGGTAGAAAAAGACATGTTTCCAGCTGCTGAGCGTCTCTGTTGCAACACAAACCACGCGGATTATTTAAAAGAGCGTATTGTTGCAGTATAACATCCCAAACTACTTCATCTCGTCTTGTAGATCGGTTAAAAGTCCACACCCTGCATGGTTCAGAACTTCCGCAGAGCGCTGAAGTTAAACCGGAAGTTGGGCTGAGTACTCTAAAATGTTCACACACTTTACACTTTATACACTTCCCGACCGGGACCGGGACGGCTGTGGCGGGCTTCTATCCGGATCCGTCGGAGGTTTCGGGCCTCTCGGAACCGGCGCTCTCGCTCCTCGCGCTCCCGCTCCTTGTTTGCGCGGCTTCGGGAGTTTGGGCCCCAAAACTGGTCCGGGAGGACAAGCTCCGGTCGCGGGCTGCTCGTTGCGGTTGCGGCTTGGGGGATCGACGGTGCGGGGTCTCCGGCCCG